GACTGACGTCATTGACAACCTCACGCAATTGTGCCAGTGTATTTTGACAGTGTTCATTCGCTGGATCGAATTTGTCATCCACCCAAAGGACTAAATAATTTTCAGCAAGGCGTTGTCTCCGTCGCACGGTTGTTGATGATGCTGATGTATTTTTTACACTACATATTTTTGTTTTGAAATTATTATGCTTTGATTTGTGTCCACCCATATGAGATATATTTCGTCGTTTAATCAGATGCCGAGAATAATAAATAATTGTATGTTATTTAGATAGAAATCTTTTTATATTTATACTGTTATTGACTCCCGTTCTCTTTCTACAAAAATGAATGTGAGTGTTTTTTTTTCTTGCTGATACTCGAAGAAAAATTCTACCTTATTTCAATTGAAGGCATTGTTATCAGCGACAAAGGAAAGAGAAAACTGCCAATAGCAAATATTTATGGCATGACTATTCTTCTATATTTTTGTTTGCTTTTCATTCACTTTATGGCTTAAAAGTCAATATGTTGAAGATATTCTCACACTCCTTGTATATTTTGCTTTGATTTTTCGAAACAGTTTTTTTCTCTTTCTAAAAAGAACGAGAAAAACAAAGATAGCACCATTTTGATGGTTTTTATTATGCATGTACTTGACACTCTAATGATGTGAACGAAACGAACAAGAAAAATAAATTGAAATTTAATTGAAGCAATAAGTGAATAACGTGTTTCTGTCTTGTTTAATATACTGCAGATCATCACCAAGTAATTCAAGTAGAAGGGTGTAGGTGTAGATTTCGTCTTAGCAACTCGCAAACCAACAACCACCCATACTCACACCTCCTGTAATCGATCAACAAAAAAAAAGTCTTATTTATTTCTGTATTTCGAACAAAATTATATTTTCTTATTGGCACTCTATTTTACTTTAAACTGATTCTATTTGCTCCTTATATCATGCTAATCAGTAACAGAACTGGAAAATAAGTCTGATATACAATATATACATTACATTTACAACAAGTGTCATCATACTAGCATACATCTGTATTATCAGCGGCGGAATGATTTTAACCTAGAGGAAGCTCGGAATATTTTTCCAGAGAACGCTGAGAGGCAGAATAAAAAAACGAATAATTCCTAGTTTTGTATTCAGGTTTTGCAGTCGGTCTATATTTCCTATATCTTTAGAAATGGTCATTTAATGTCCTATTAATCAGGCAATTCTTCTGTTTTCTATATATCTTGGAAAAATAAAGATGCTTATTAAATTATAAATGCTGCCAATATCGATTGCCTGCTGTCGTATCAAAAGTTATTCACGATGAATCATCTTAAGCTAAGTTACAGAGAAATTAATTAATATTCAAAACAAAAGAAAAGATGAAACCGATAGAATAACAGCAAAATGCTATAATTGATTCAATGGTTAGTCTTGGTTAGAACAGATTTTTTTCTTATCGTTCATTTCGTTCCATGAAATTCTCTACCCAAACAGTTGCATTATGACGATGTCAGCTCCATGGAAAGATCTTAAATATTTTTTTAAAATTTGCAGATTATTATAAGGTAACACGTAGCGAAAACAGCTATAGATCACAGTAGCATTCAAAAGCCCACAAGGAATTTCCAAATGACCTTGGGAATTATTATCCGTCTAATCGGGTTTTTTTCGTAGTATAAACGAGCAGAAGTACAAAAAGAGTATGTGCATCTCGATGAATCCATAGCAAGACCCATGCCCACACTCTCTTCACGAAGATTTATTCTTTGATGATCCTTCTACCCTGTCAATCAATATATCGACATTGAAGCATACTACTACTACAAACTTTAGTCAGTTCATCTCTTTTTTAAAGTTAGATGCCTATTTTAGGTTGAGACATTTTTTATCTGAATACTAATTATAACTGTAAAATACATATACGATCTGATATTTTGCACATGAATCTAAATGTTTTATAATTTTTTTTGTGTTGTTCCCAATACATATCATGACATTTTATTTCTATCAACAAACGTATATTATTCAACATAAGAATAAGTACGAAATGAAGAACAACAAAAAAACCGAAGATCAATGAAAAAAGTACAGTGACAAATTCTTGATTAACTATAAAATGAAGATATTATAAACATTTTATATTCTGAAGCCAAGCATATGTGCACTTCTACATTATTTTTTTTTCATACAGAAGAAAATTGGAAAGATAGCTATTAATAGAGAATACTTCGATGTCAATCCATAACGTTCGAATTATTCGAAATAAATAAATTTTGCTGCTACAAGTGTCATTTGTATGTAACATTAGAAATGCTCTTAATTCTTGTATTTTTCGTTCGAGAAGCGAACATTTTTGTTCCGACTTTATACATTGTTCTTTTTCTTGTTCGTAAAGTGCTTCCTTCTCTTGTATTAACTGTTGCAAATTACCAATCATTACATTCAAATCTTTCAGTTAATCGTTTTTTATTGAAGTCTGTAGCAGATAAAATAACTTTTTGTGAATTTACAACGAACTTTACCTACCATCGTAAACATGACAGAGAAAAAGTTCAAATTGCTAAATGAAACTCTTTTTTTTTCGACGTTGTTCGCAATTCACCAACTATTTGAACAAATTTCAAAATAAATTAAATGACAACTATTTAATTTGATAAAGCAGCTGATTTTCTTTGCAAGTATATGAATGAATTCAAAAATTCTCGTATTTACTTTTTTGCTTCTTTACCCGACATTTGAACATATTACGGAACTTTTATTTAAAAAAAGTCTCCGTAATGTACTAAAATTCAGAACAGTGTTGGAAGTGGCATGTTAGGCACAACCACATCCTAGTATCCATGTGATTTCTTTATATTTTCGACGTATGAAGAAATTAGTCGTTCATAAACATATGAGAGAAAATACATGAAACATCCCAATAGCATTACTTTCGTTCATATGAGTGAAAGGCGCATACTTTTCAAAAATCTTGTCCAATGCTAACGTCATTATATTTCAAAAGTTTTTTTTCGTAGTGGTTGTCCGAACTTCGAGCTTTGGGAGAGAGTGTAAAAATATTTTTTGTTTGAGATGGTTATGAGCCTGAAACTATTAGACTTTTCATCGTGCATTCTGTACATCGTTCTTTATATACTTAAATACGACATAGCTCACTACTATTATCATGTAGAATTAGTATGGATTTAAAGTGAACAGGCAAACATTGAGATACTGGCGATAAAGAGACGCAAGGAAGCAGAAGACTAATAAGAAACTCAATGACAACTTTCAGCATTTAGTGGAAAGAAAACATTTGCATCAAACCCAAAAAAGTGTTCAAACACTTTTATAGTCGAACATTTTGACACTGACGACACTTGTCCAAAATTACGCTTTTGGAAAAGATACAAGAATAATCCAAAAACTTTTCAATAATGACTTCATTTGTGTAGATTTCATTTATTTTTGCAAGGAAAATTATTTCGAGGCTGATGACAAATTCTGCGACCTTTTTGTCATTTTACCTTGAAAAGAAAAATGTCAATGCATACAATGATTTTTCACAACAGGTAGTCATAATATCAACAACGTTTTCAAAACCAAAGCTTGTTAAAAGTAAAAAACATTAGAATATCGACAAAATCAATGTGTTGAAACTTTTTCTGGCCTATTGTGCTTATTTAATCGCTATTTCTTCTACAAAGGATAAAATCTTCATGGTACTCTGTAATCTGTTTGTATGAAATGTCATTTAATTCAATTTTTCTGAAGAAAAAAGCGAACAGTACGCAATGGCCATTTTCGATCATTTCTAATTCAACACATATTAGTCTCGCATCATTCTCATCGTTATAAATGTTTTGAAAAAAAAGTGATCGTTCCCTGAATCTAATAATAGAACAACTTAAACAACAATTCATTTGCTTCCTAGGTCTTAGCACTCCCTTCTAAACTAGGGTGTATGTGGGAATCTTTTCTTGCGCCATTTGAAATTTCCACGCCCACACTCTGTTTGTACATTTGAAGTCATTTATTATAACTAGAAGCTTTTCTCAATGCTTGTTAGTCGATAACTTATAAATCTAACCCTTTTCTTTCTATTGACATTTCCACCTCTAATCACTTCAATTATATAACTTCTTTAAAATATATACCATGTCGAAAAAACACATTTTTGTAAAAAAAAATTACGGTTTTATTGAGTTTTCTGTCTTTACCTAGCTGTTTACAGAGCTGATTTATAAAAAGACGTGTTTTTCATTAGTGTAATAATAAATACCAGTAGCGGCACTTGTAAAACAGATTACCTAGAGAGCAGACACTATTTCTGTAATGTGAAAAAAAATGAACGCGCATCTGGCATTGATTGTAGATAATTTTGGCAAGCTGTATGATTTCATAGTGTGTCAGACGTCAATGAAATCATACTGCTAATGCATGAAACTATACATACGTATTTCTGAGTATTCTAAGCTATTCGAATTGCTCCGAATCATGGTTTTTCCCCTTGCGTAAAAGACTAAAATCAACAGTATTTCCACGCTTTTAAAACTTAAAAATCGCTTTGCTTTTCTAAAAAACTGTTTTCATAAAAAATTATGAAAACAAATAGGACATAATACAAGACTCGGTGAAAACATCGTATACGTGGACATAGAAATGATCCAGGCTCTATTATTACAGAAAGAACTTTGAAAAGTTTTATTGAAAATATCAAAGTACAGGTTCGATCGAGCGCAGATCCGGTCTGAAAAAGTCTCATAAACTGAGCTTGGGTTCCTAAATTGTGCATCCAACAGATTTTATTCTATTATCAGTTTTCTCATATGAAAAAATTTAGTGATCTCACTGGTTTTTATCGGCCTAGAGGTATTTGGCCGGTTACTGCTCCAGTGTTGCTGAATGGTTCCGCATCCCACACAGTCAAAAACGTTCTTTTCGTTTCCTATTCTACTTTTCCCCATAGTGTATGCAGGATAGCAAATCTGATTATGATATTTTTCTTCGTGAAAGAAAAGTGATGAACAAAATTAGTTTGCTACAACAATATCATCCACTAAAAATTGTGCATTGACTCCATCAACTATGAATTCTAAGCCAACCATAGGACGTAATAATGGCAAAGAAATAGTTTGTATAGCCGTTATATAATCTGTTGAACCAGTCTTGAATACTCGTTTGCCAAGGGCTGGGAGTACGTGAACCATGAATGAATCAGATGTTCCATTGTCATAAAAGAGTTGTACTGTTAAATGATCGACGAGCCCTTCCGGTGCTCTGCAAACTTGAAATCGGATCCAAGATCCAGTCATAGCATTTTGGAGATGAATGGCATATTTTCCAACGGAGCTATTCGTGGGCTGTAAGATTAGCATTGCTGAACGATATACTTTAACATAGACGGAGCCCCAGTGTAATAAATTAACAATACTGACTTTTGAACCTGCTATTGTTCCTTGCGTGACATCATAGTGTTCGAAGTCAGCAACAATCGTTTCATTTGAATCTTGAAATGTGGATATATAATTTGTATATGGTAAGTAAGGCATTGCAGAACGATAGTCTTCGAATAGAACTCGATAGTGCATTTGATTTTTTAAAACAAGGTTCATTAAAGCAGCCATATAAATTTTACATAGATGCTGTTGTTGCACCATCGTTAATAATGGCGAACATTCATAAAACGACTTGCACCTGGAATGAGATCAAATCGTCCCCAATCTCTATTGAATTGTCCATGATTTGCTTGATGAACATACACAGACGCTTTGAAATTGTATTGACTACTATTCGATGTAAATCGTAAATATCTTAATTTTGCTTGAAAGAAAAATGATGATAGATCTCCATCATATATTCCATGAATGCCAAACATCGTGACGTCCTCTGATATAAGACTATGTCCGAGTGGCATGTAACCATCGTCTGTACCACCAATAGAAAATAGTGCCTTGATACCAAACTCGTAATCCGTGAATGAAACACCTCCGGGATAATCAGTCAAGAATTTTAATTTATTGAATACTTGTGCAATGACAATAGCTTCGCCAGCACGTGAATGACCCATCAAACCGACATTAGATAAATCGATTTGGTTATAAAATCGGTTGTTCGGTTCGGCATTCCATAGTCGTAGTTGTTTTAATGTTTCCAAGATCATGATCGCTCGGGCCATCAATTCGGGTCCGTTACGAAAATTGAGAACATATTTTCTAATAGTCGATATTTTACCGTATCCTATGGAAGAAAACGTCGGCGCCACGTTTAAAAAATTCTCATCGATCGATACGGCAATAAAACCTTGACTGGCAAGCATTGTTCCCAAATACTCATATCCCAACTCACTGGACTCTGTCGAAGCGTGATTGCCATGAAGTAGGATTACTACAGGATAGGGACCTGTTTGATTACTCGCATTGATAGGATGCCAGATTCTGCCGTTGAGAGGCAACGCAGATTCATTGTACTTGAATGCACGTCTATTGAATGATGATAGGGTAATTATGGACGATAGATCTATTGTTGGGGTTATGATCGAAGCTTTCGTTCCGTATTCACTACGATGATCGAAACCACTACCATAAGTAAGAAATGTAAAGGAATAATTTCCATTTACAGAGGGATCATGCGTCAGATTACGTGGATATCTTTCCGATGGTATTATCACATCAATTTTCTGATCGACACCATCTATCAAATAGTACCATAGCACAAGAATAATGCCAACACAGCCAATCACAGTAAGAAAACAATAAACGATTTTAATTCGTTTTTGTTGATGAAATATAACCATCATGATGCCACTGATAAATAGCACATGACTCAATATTAAAGCTATTCCAAGTCCTAAACCAGCTACGGCTGACCCACCTATCATGGCTGTGATTGTCATAAACAAAACCAATGTGAGAATATTTGCCATAAAAAATGAAAATCTACCATAAGATACTTGTTGTCGAATGAAATCGCATTTATTCCATAAAAAACGAACGACAATAATCAAGACGTAGATTACGAGAGTGATCATCCATATGATGGTGGACATATAAATAACAAATAGTATAAATGTTGCAAATGGTCCATAACCGAAATTTAATGAAGTCATGACAGAAGCTGATAATAGAAGTATCAATATCGCCAAAGTAATATTTGTAGCATTAACTATTCGTGTAACAATGTTAGGTTTAGTTTGCACCGCTTGTGTGTTGTTGTTTCTGATTTGTCTTCGAAGTCGCACAGAGAATAATACAATGACAAAAACGTTTGCTATAATGCTGATGATGATCAACGACTGTAATTGTATTGTGAGATTACGCATAACCGTAATCGTGATAATTAAAATGATCAAGATAACAGTACATATTCCAATATAAAAAGCATTTTTCGAAATTAAGTGTGATTTTTTGATAGGTAAAAGTTTGTCATTATCCTTATTGTTACTCGTATCATGGACTTTTGTCGACATAATTGATTGTAGAACGTTAGAAAAATATTAATGTTCGATTGAATATTAATTCTTCCTTCGTCTTCCAATATAACCTGACAAATCACTTATCTGAAAAGCTAGAGAGAATATTGTCTATACGAATTTCACTATAGAAACCTTATCATTATCATCGCTAACAGGCGTATTGCTTAGGACTCGGCTGTCAATGACTAGTAGCTTCTGCAACACTGATTCTCTATCGGCAAAACTTTTTGTCTAGCTATTTGAGAAATCTGGTAAACAATTTCCTTTCACTTTTGCAAACATCAGAGAGCTCGGATCGCAATATAGACCAAGACCAGAGTTAGCATATCCTTTATTATGCAGTTAAGATTCTGTATTAGATTCATGCGATATATCTTGTCTATGTACAAATAATATCTTGTCTGCTTTCCTCATTTTGTATACTAGCAAATAAGGGCAGTTAAAATCAACAGCAGTGACTCACTAATAGAGTAAAGAGTAAAGCTGAAAATATATTTCATTGCTGTACTTTTTTTCTCTTTAACCAGGTCAAATAAAAAATAGAATTTCAAAATGTAGACAAATAACATGCATTTCTAGAGAGTTTTCATCAATGCGCACTTACTTTATACCTTCGTTTAGCTGTATACTACAAACAACGTCTACCCTATATGACGTACATCAATACTACCATGATGTGTATAGATAAGGAACAAGCGCACATCTCACTGTTTATTACACTTTTCAGTAGCATTGTGATAAAGTTCGTTTGGTTGCTCAGTGAAGAAGATGGAGATGCTGCTAGATCAGCAAATGTGTTTTTATCTCTGTGTTTGCTAATGTAGTTAACCATCATGTCACCAACCTCGATAAACATGACGCAGCAAGCGCTCGGTTTGATACACTGACGTAGGCCTTGGATATTGATATCATTTTCTCTTCAATCGCACTCATACTCACACCCTCTCCTTAGTCATGACAATTTTGACTCTAACTCCATCAAATGATTATATTTAGAAAAGAAAACTAGATAGAAAAAGAATATTGATATACTATTTGATAGTGTTCGTAAAGTTTTATTATGCCGGTAACTAAATTTCTTATCGGAAATTTTCATAAATCATAAGATATATTAAAATTTCATGTACTTTTTCATGTTGTAAATGCACCACATCCAACTAGAACACTTTGCAAATAAAATTTGTAGAAGAATTTATGGGGTATCTTTCATAAAACAGAAATGCCTCTGTACAATGATTTTATATTTAGATACTCACAGAAATAAACTTAATCCAAAATCATTGCATCACCCGCTAATATAGAGTTACTCCACATCACTTGCAAGATTATGATTGATCAATTGAAGATGAAGTATTATAGTAGTGAATAGGAGTAGCAATTTCATTTGCTGTCTTTAGGAGAGGAAATTTATGAAGTGAGTTGGATGACAAGTGTTAAAAGCTTTCGTATGTTTATCATCTATTTATCAGATGAGGTTCTAACAGATATATAATTGACATCTTGAGAATGTTTTCTTCTTATTTCACTTCCCTCTTTCTGCCTTTCTCGCCTTTCAAACTATCTTTTATTTTCTCTTATTGTTCACTTGATGTTCCATTCTCTTCTAAATATCTTGATATAACAGGTGAGGCAGAAATAATGGAGCACTTTTGCATTTCATCTTCTTATCACTTAATACGTTCTATTAACACATTCGACGCGATGGGTCCCACCGGTGGGATCCACTGTAGGGTGGCCCAAAACTTCCTTCACTGTAAAAAAAGTGAATATTTCTGCCATATTTTGACGGAAGAGGCTGGTTCTTTTACCACTGATAAAGGGATGTTCATAACTCATATTCATAAGAGAAACGTTGATAAAAACTGTTTTGAAATATTAGAATTGTCTTGAATAAAGAAATGAAACCTTTCATGAATTGTGAAAAAGAAAAATTCATATCGCGGCGAATGTGTTAAAAAAGAAAGTATACCGCAAGATGTAGCATGAAAAGCTCTACAATCTACAAACTCCAGCTTATTCTATTGTTTATCTTTTGTTCTGAAAAGTTTAACATTCTATGCGACTACTGCTGGTAGCATCGAAATTTGATCACTCAGAAGTTTGTCGATTTTAAAAACAAAAAGTGTAACTATAAAATAACTTGGCCTTTGTAGATTGTGGAGCTTGTCACGCTGCATCTTGTGCTGTATTTTGTTTTTTAATACAACGTATTACCTGATGATAAAATGAAATGCAAAACGGCCCCATTATTTCTGCCTCATCGGTATCGTGACCATTATGTGCGCCTTAACATAACCTAAAAATATTTTAAAAATTTTTTTTCTAGTTGGAGCAACATATATAGAGCGAAAAGATAGTTAAAGGATGAGAAAAAACAGATGCAGAACACTAACAGTAAGAAGATAGTTGGAAACGATGGAGAAAGAATGACAAAAAATAGGAAACAAAGGACCATAACAACTGCTTCTATTTAAAAAAGGGTTTTATTCCACTTGCAGTCAACAACATAGATACTGATGACTTCGAGAAACTTGAAAGACTTCAACTGTCCCTTCCTTTCTGAAAGTAAGAAAAAAAAATACAAGTAGCATCCTTAGCAGTGATACATGTAAAATTTTCTTAGGATTCTAATCATCTTCGTATTGTTCTTGTGTTCAATGTCATTTTCATTTGAATGATCAATTAAATTTACGAAGCCATTGATATCTTTTTTCTTTTGCTGCTCCTTCACTGCCTTACTCCTGCCGCATCGTTTCACAATCTTCACACTCCACTGCTTGTCTTTTTTTTGTGGAACCGTCATGATTCGACAATTGTGTTATTTTCTCGGTTGAGAATGTAGATTCTCTTTCTCTTATGATTGGCTTGTCTGTAACAACAAATGAGGATAGTAGCTTTTCGCCATCCTTGATAATAACATTTATTAAGCTAGTATCTATCTTTAGAATGTAATTACTGACCGTAAACACACAATTCTATAGGAAAGAGAGAGAGATGAGCACGGGACAAAACAATAGAAAGGAAATGAAGATCAGCTTCCGCTAATATTATCATAGTAGCGTAAAGTTTGAAAGTTGAATTCAATTATTGAGCTTTTCAGTTGAGGTATTCACATATTTAGCTGTTTCAATTGTCAATGTGTGCAGCGCGCGTGTTTGTTTTTTCGTGGCATTCACATCAAGAGAGATACTTGAACTTCAAGTTTTCAACTTTCAAATTGGACATATGTACAAATGCTTCTTCTTGTTAGTTAGAATAACACGTTCAAACGCAGATCTCTATAAGAGTAACATCTTTGAGAAAGATTGACCGCGACGCGACAGTTTTCTAGGCATATGTAAGTTTCACAGATAATATTTGTCTCGTTATATTTTCAGCACTGTAACTTCACACAAACAGAAATGAATTCATCAACAATTGCGTTGGCAAGTCAATTCAATCTAGTTCAAACGTATCTAACTCGTTATTTTATGGTACCTATTTATATTTTTGGTAATTTGGGCAACTTGTTAAATATTATTCTGTTCTCTCAACGTAATCTTCGATTGAACAACGTCTGTGCCTGGTATTTTATCGGTTTATCATTAGTTAATTTG